GTAGGCACTGCCAAGTGACGCAGTTACGTAGGCACTGCCAAGTGACGCAGTTACGTAGGCACTGCCAAGTGACGCAGTTACGTAGGCACTGCCAAGTGACGCAGTTACGTAGGACTGCCAAGTGACGCAGTTACGTAGGCACTGCCAAGTGACGCAGTTCCTTCAGTCCTATAGGAATGGAGTGAGATGAAGTTCCGGATAATGTAAGGTCTAAGATAATGGCCGTTAGAAAAGTTATCTAACAAAAGACATAGCTATTACGAATGTTAGATGTAAATACACGCGTATACATGGATGGCAGTGTATTGACAAAGTCATCCATACATTTATTGATGTGCAAATTCGATGGGAATAAAGTGAGCAGAATGCATAGCAAGATACTGACGTTCAAATATTGATGATAAACCGTTGTTTAAACGAAATTTAGTCGTAGTTATCGTTGTTTCGACGTCATTCTTTGCCTGGAAGGAAACGAAATATGCATCAAGTGAAGGAGAAAGGTGCCACTAGCTAGGGTTGCCAGATGGCAACAGCAGAAAACGGCCTATTCAGCTAGCGAAAAAGTTATAAGAAGACCTCAAATTCAATATATATAAATAAATTTGTAACCTGTAGTGCAAGAATTCAGTTTTCAGTGTTAGAAAAAACCTTAATCGTATGCTATCTATTGAAATGTGCAATAATTTTAAGGCTTTCATAGATTTTTACCCAAGATAGGCAGTTTGAAAAAATGGCCAAATCATTTCATTTGCCCAGTGGTGCGGCAGCACAGCGCGTCCCGACGAGACGCCGTTGCGTATAAACTATAACTAACGTCAGTTGAGGCTAGGATCTGCTAGTGCTTGCATGCTTGCTAGCGTAGCTAGTGCAATGTTGCGGGTTCTTAGTACAAGTTTTATGCGTCCTTACAAGGTAATATTGCGCTCTTTCTTTCTGGTAAGGTTCAAACACTCAAGAAACCTATTCAAATTATTTAATTGTTTTATATTACTGCGAAATTATCTTAAAAAATAGTGTTTAATACCAGCCAAAATTCATCATATTAAAATTTTAGTTGATTCCAGCTCAGGATAAAATATTCACTCGTTATTACAAAGAAGAACACTGTTTCTTACCATTACAAATTTAAAGTACGTTTAGATTATTCATCATTTTTTATTCATTAGGAAATTTTGGATATGATATTCTAGATTTCTAGAATTTCGGCGCTAAAGGTTTTTTACATCAACGTTATAGATAGTGATATCAGTAGTTACTCAAGTTAACCCTTCACTGAATTAAAATGACGTGTAGGACTAACGCTGGTCAAAAACAAAGTGAATAATGGAAATAAAGATAATTATTATTATTTTTGCCGATGTAATATCTTCAGTCACTAACCACAAATGGACACTTCGATGGAAACATTTACTTCTAGGACAATGTCGCTATTATTAATTTAGTTTTAAACTTAACCCAGGAGCAGATTTAATTAAGTGAAAAATACTTGATGACGTACGATGATGTTAAGCACAGTAACGCGTTCCCAAAAATGATAATAAAATCGATAAAAATACAGTATCAATCATAAGCCATTATTTACGTTAAATTATATATTTTGTGTATAATATACATACAATGATAGATATACAATTGTGAATATTAGATGTAGGTATTTCAGAACAAAACAGGGTTTTGAAAGCGCCACTATGGTTCAGACTCGCACATGTTCAAGAGACATCGTCCAAAAAGCGATGCAATTTTTGCCTTTTATGGGTCATTCTGACTCAGCTTGACCCATCAGTGTTGCGTGCAGAAATCGGGTCACTATTTGGACAATTCGACCCATGCATTTTTCTTAGTTTGCGTTGTCAAGATGTATATAGAGTCCATTATATATATGCACCCATCTGATAAGAGGGGCTTTGTCGTCCCATTTCTTGACGGTCTCTTGATAATAACTGAATTTTGTCATAAAAATACATGAAAAATTGTATTAATTTAATATAAAATTTAATATATAGATAATATGTTGCCGTGAAATAAAATTCAACGCTAAATAAATCTAAATCTTTTAATTATGTTTTTCTTTCGATAATTTACTTTAGTAGATCGTTTAATATTTTTTTGTTTTAATGCAAGAAAAATTCAACGTACCATAAATTTGTACTAACTAAACAATAATTATACTCACCACTTTTTGCGATATTTCATATATCAGAGAAGAATACATACTTTAGCTTTCTATGTAGTAATGAAAGTTTTCGAATATATCACAGTTTTCGTGAGCTGAATTGAGATGGCATTTTACAGCCATTTTTCTTCTGTGCCATCTTTTATGGAATGAAATTATTCAATTTAATTAGATGCGAATAATATTTAATTGTAAAATGTAGGTATTGTGGTTCACTCCTAAAAATGTCACGGACGTTTGGCGCCATATTTGTTTACCTTTTCCATCAGAAAAATAGAAACTTACAAAATTTAAGAAAAATGGCCATAGACGCTGGAGCTTCTGATTTTACTTCATCTAAGGAAAAATAAACGCAAGTACATGAATACATTGCATACAATAGTTTTAAAACGACGATCTAATGAATGATCTTAATTAATACTAAGAAACAATAATAAATTATTCGCATACCTATGATAGCCTATACAAATTCTAAGTGACGATCATTTGACTTTTCTAATCTAATTGTATTTCCATATTATTGAAATCGATTGACCATTACATTCATAGCTAATTGTACAGTTTTCACTAGAAATGAATAGCATTAACTATTTTAAACTTTGATTCCTGAATTTGGAAATATGACGGGTGGGTAAGCAGTTAATGCCTTAATATATCTCTACCAAATATAACGATGTATGTAGATGATGTAAAACTATACTTTACGTACCAATTAAATAATATTTTAATCAATGTATCAGTAGATGCCGGTCAAAGGCGTTAGGCATGATGCCGAACCAGGCGACCCTCGGCAGTCAGCAACAAATAAAGGAAGTGTCGGTTTGAAAGACAAGGACAGCTGGGATTGGTGGGAGGGAATCGGTGCGAGAGGTCGCAATTTGATTCAATGTTGAAGTAGTTTAAAAAATATTTTTATATTGCCTGTCAAACGCTTATAAATTCAAAAACAGAAATAATGTAATTTAATCAAATATATATACTGAAGTTAAATAATTATCTTCATCTAAAAACTTATGGTTGAGCTTTCATCCATTGACGGAAAGAAATCAGCTGATAATAAATTTTGAATATTTCTTAATTAACATAATAACATCATATATTTTTATTCATATATTTGATTATTCATTTAAATAATCTTCTGTTATTAGAGCTTTTTGACTTCTGAGGTGAGAAATAATATTTTTGTGACGGACTAGTTCGTCAAATTGTAAAGGATGACGGCTCTCCTTTGTATAAGCAGCTGTGGAGCGCGAGAATACTTGGCAAGTTCAGACAGTGTTAACGCAACGTCGTTTGTGTGAGGGTGTGTGTCGTCTCACCACACTGGTCGCCTAACTGTGATACATATTTTTTATTTATAAGTGTGTACAGCGACCACCTTATAAATTTCACACCATTTTCTTTCCTTCTGTTAAATTCTTTACAAACCTTTTATCGCGCTCGATCGTCAAACTAACTCTACGGAGTCATTTTATGGGAAGGCAGAGGAAGAACCTTTGTTCACGAAGCTAACCGACGAGCTTCAATTTTTACATCTCTCTTCATTTCTACGTAGTGAACATGTCTCTCTCTCGTAGCGGAAACGTATTTTCCGTTATCTCCATCACCTCTACTTTCTCTTCTTGTTTCTAAATAAGACTCGCTGAAAACGCAACGATGCAATAATAATCCACACAAACAAAGGTTCGTTTTGAGTGTCATCGATCTGGTTAGCTTGTCCCTGTTGACCCTTTACTTTACTCTTCAGTAGTTTAATAGTCATGTCAGTGTCAGTCCTGTAGCATAGGTACTGGCATTAGGCTTGTCACAGCTTGATTAAAAATACTATTATTAGTAGATTAGATTCCAAAATTAGATTCCATTAGTTCCAAGTTACCAAGTATAGCCAGAATACGGCAGTTGATAATTTTTATGTAAATTTTTATTACTTTCTTTCAATTTAATAATATAAATTAATTAAATAATGAATTGAATTTCAGCGCAGCCATTTTGTAAACTGGAACAATGGGCAGAAACCACCCGCAAATGCCAAATGAGACCTACCTAACCTAGCCTAGGTAAATGAAAATGCCTGTGCTGACTGCTGAGCTGTGCATGTATGATGTAGACTTTACTAATTTTTTTACTTTAAGAAATACAACACATTTTTGTTTGCAATTTTTAAAAACCACCTGTTAAATTTGACAATTTATTATTACTTTTTATTGGATTTTTTGGGAAATTTTCTCTGATGTTCCCGATTGGTGTCTTAACTTGCTCTAATGTGATTTAAGAAAAATCACCTTGAATATTAATAATTATTATATATTAGCATGATATAAAATACAAAAGTTGTCAATAAATATCTCCTTTATACCAAAGTGCATTTTATGATTTTTTCAATTTATTTGAATTTTTAGGAGACATTTTGATCATATTTAAGACATTCCATTGTGGTTTTGTAGAAAAAATAAACTTCATAGTGGCATCAAAGATATTACTTTGAGTTATATTAGCCTTATATGAATTCTATGCTCAACATTATTTTTATTATAAATCTAAGTTTTTTATTTTAGTTTCTCAATGAAAGTTGAAAAACCTACACTGGTCTTTAAACCCATTTTTTACTAATATTCACGATATTCACTCTCACTGTTTCAAGGCTTTAACATAATTTTTAGCGCATTTTCTCATTTATGGAAAAAAGGTGCTATTGTGCTCGTCATGTCTATCTGTCTGTCTGTGACTTCACATTTTTGTTGATTTTAAGTATACTTTTAAACTGCACTAATCGCAATGAAAACTGATTTATGCACAAGAAAATGTACTCTCTGTCACTCACTGCAGTGAGTACTGATCTAATTTTTTATATTATTTTTTTGTGTAACCAACTCAAGTCTATGAAACAAGTTTGAATTAAATTATTCATAACTAAAGACATCTGATTAAGTCTAGTTGTCAAGTCAAATACTTAATTCAAGAATAAGTAAACTAAAGACAAAGTCATGCATCTTAAATGAGAATTCAAGAATAAGTAAACTAAAGACATAAAGTCATGCATCTAAAATGAGGAAAGCAAATTTAAATGATTTTTTCTTGTAACTCATTGCTATTTTGGCTCCTAAACTAGACAAAGAGCCTTACACAGGATTAGAATTCTCCTATTGAGGAATGAAATCTCACAGCTCCAAAGTGACTATTTTTTAATACATCAGGAATTTTGTGGCCTGATTGCATACTTTTATTAAAAATCACATAGGAGGCAATTCATCTAGCAAGAATTTAACCCTTTACGCCCTGGCGTGACAAATTCGTCACACAGAAAAAAACATCGGTTTTCCAACAATTTCATGTTTTCTGTCATTTTTTTGAAAAATTCACATGAATAAAAAAGTCTTAGATTTATTTTTTACATATGTGTACCAAGTTTCAAAAGATCGCTGCCATATCTACTGCTCATTTTTATCAAACTACATAATTTTCCTTGATAAATTACTGTCATAATTATGGACAAAAAGGGAAGAAATCTAAATCTAAGGAGAGAAAGAAATCTAATACTACTGTGCAATTGAAATTGGATTCGTTTTTCTTTTTCAGTAAAAAATAAATTTTAATTCATTCGCATTTCTTTTATTTATTTCCTCTATTATTTAGAAAAAAATATGATGAATTTTAGTGGGAAAAAAATTATTATGAACTTTGCTATTTTTTAGGATTCATTATAATCATTCCCATATATTCTTAAGTTTGATTAGCGCAGTTTTGCTTAACACGGTAAAACTCGGGGATTTATTAACCATGTTAATCAAGGGATTGCTGTATACTCAAAAAATTTCAGACTTGTAACACTAGTAGTTTTTAGTTAGGAAGCAAAATTATGCAAAATCAAAAAGAAAATGTGTTGAATTAATATGTTGAATTAATATCAAAGTTGGAATTGATGTTAAACATTATAGGTTGGGTAATTGTAGAAAAATGGTAAAGTGTATCCATCTAGCGAAGATGACAAAAATTGCTAAAACAGCATCTAAGAATTTTGACAAAATTAGAAAACTCCCTAAATGAATTTTGACATGAGATACATACCTGGTGGTCTATTTTTTTATTTCATTGCATTATAATAGGTCCTGAATGGTTATAGCAGTAGTTAGAAGGCCTAGATTAATTTAGTTTGATGATTTTTTGATAGGTGTTTTTTTTACCTCCAATTGGCAGGGGTTGTTTTTAGAGTCTGTGACTATATATTTATGCCTAATTTTCCTCTTTGAGCTCCCATCAATGAAACGTGACCTGCCTCCTCTAGTCATGTTATCCTCATGTAATAAACAATATAATTCCTAATTTTGTACTGGATGCAATAAACTTTTAAGTTTCATTTAGATAATATGAAATGCTTTAAGCTCTGAAAATTGAACAAAACTTGTTTGTTACAAATATTACCTTGTTTATGTTAAGCTTGCATTACACTGGTGACTTGTACTTTATTAATGCTGTGCAAATCCTTTTTGATCTGGTGTTAGTCTAGAGTTACCATGTAAACCAGTAACTTATATATTTTATTATGAAAAGGCTAATCTTATAAATTTTGTGTCCAGTTAACTTGTTTTATGGTATAATGAGTCTTTTGACAGAAGAGGCTTTAGAACCCATCATTGTATTGCCAGAGTAATGAATTCATTACAAAATAAGTAAAGGTTGACCCTGTTACTAATATTATAATTTTTAATACATGTTTTGTTTGATATAATTAAAGTCTAGATAAATAGAATTATGTTGAAATTAGATGCCATTTATATTTTTGTATTCAAAGAGTCAATCATTTTTGTCAACAGTCCTGATTGAAATTTCAACCTAGGCTCTACATAAAATGAAATATGTTTGCATTGCAATTCTGCCTGGGGAATGCAGGGATGGTATATATCTATGTGTTTATTAACGGTTAGAGTCCCTTGCATTATATTCTTGTAAAATGCTGCTTCCAAGATTCTTTACTAATGTTGTCAAAACACAGAGTTGTAAAATTTATTGGTAAACCTTAAGCATTTAGAGTCTCCCACTGTTAACATATTTTGTCAAAACCATACTATTTTAATAGATTTGCATGGAAAATGTATACAATTGTTTATCTGTTATATTGAGCATGGTACTTTTTATATATGTCACCACTGACCAATGGATTGAAACTTTTTTGCTCCCTTTTGCACGGTAATGTGGTTTCCCTGATGGCTTGAAGAAAGCTCAACCCTGATTTTACAAAAATCATACATGGGTACGCTTTGGGAAGAGGCATACTATTTACTTCTAATATTTTTATAAAATATTCTATGAAATAACGTAGATAATTTTTCTTTTTCCAGGGTGTGGGTGAGTGAGTGGGGAAGTTGAGGCTGCTGTTGACGCTACTGGCAACACTGCTGGCTACCAACGCAACTCTCGGCTCACGGATATCTTCAGTGTTGCCATTTTCTCAAATTCTTCTGTTTTAGTCATTTCTCCCCTCTCCATTCTGTTGCTTTCTCTGAACTAATTTTTTTCTGGGTACTCTCAAGTCACAATCTTGAGAGTGAAATCTTAGTTGCTTAGTTCATCATCAGTTTGTCAGCAATAGTGACAGCAGTGTCAGCAACAGCATCAGAATATTGACATCATCACAGTACAGTCATGGTGGTGAGCAGCCAAGCAGAGGCAGCATCGCTGTGTGGTGATGGACAAGATATACAAGAAGCAGTCATGAGCAACCTAGATGAACACTCTGAGGTGCCTGTGTCTGGAGCTGCTGGGGTGGATGAAGAGATGAACATGGATGTTGATCTACATCTCAAACATCAGATCTTCTGCTCAACCTCTATGATCGCCAGCTCCAAGTATCCTCAAGATGGTCTGCCTGAGTGCGAGCCATTCCATCGCCATTTACTGCACTCGGTGTGCATGGAGGAGATGTACAATATATCCAAGCAGCCCATGCCATGTCTGCCCCTCAGCCCTGAGGTGGACCTGCATGAAGCCATCACAGAAGCTGTTGCACTCGAGCCCAAATACCAGCCTGCACTCACCCTTGTGATGCCTGCTCGGGTGAGTACATATTCTTATACTTATTTGAAATTTGAATGCATATATAATAGCATGTTGTATACATACCTGCTCATATTATCTACTGAGGAAAGTAGTGGTATACTGTACTACATTAAGAGCAATTGAAAATTACTTATGTGGAATTGTTTGAGCACATGGAGTGCATTTGATGACCTTTGTTCAATTTAGGCTACTATTTCTAATTATTTAAACTCGTTTTAAAGTTTTATTTACTTCAGAGCCAGATTTATTATTAGATCTGGAATAATTACTTGCTTTATTTTCTCAAATCTAAGTGCAGAGATACAAGTTTTTTGATTACTTGGGTGTTGCTCCACTCAATCTTGCATGTATCTACCCTGTTATCTGCTGATGACTCATGCTCTGGTGCATGGTCTGATAAGGTCTTCAAGTCACTACTTGTCTATTTTTGTATCAATTTCAACCACTCGCTTCTCAATCAAGTCTGCTTGTTTTTCCTCTTTTTGAGTTGAGCAGCAATATTTTGTCTGATCCGTGTTATATTTATGAGCTGAACTTTATTCATCGAATTTTGTATGTGTGAATCAACATTATTTGAACATTGTTTCAACATCATTTGCCAGTTGGTTAATTCTGTGCTGGTATGTTGAGAGGTGCTTACCTGCCACTCACTCATTTCTGTTGAACTGAACTGTTATCTAGAGCATAGTTGTTATTGTACTGAACTGTTATCTGGAGCATAGTTGTGTTCATTATTTCTCAGATTGTAAGTCATGGCTCATTTTCTTAGTAATTCTGTGGCCTATTTGAAAGAGAAAGTCTGTATATCAATTACAGAACGGTCCATCACATGATTTTGGTATGTTAAGTGTGATTAGGGCAATACCGTACTTGGCTGCTAATACAGTGAATATGACCTAGCTGAAAATATGACCCGAGTGACCACGTTTGTAAGATTCGCCCATAATTCCACCATCGTTAAGCATTCGTGCTTCGCTCGTACTAAATAGAGTACATGTACAGTACGTGATTTGAGTTATGTGTATATAAATGTGCGAGTGGCTGAACCGTGAGAAATATTTGTAGTTACGGTACCTAGATTGAAACCATGAAAAATATTTTTTATTGCGAAATAAGTTCGAAACTCCGTTCTCCATCACTGATGGCTTTTCCAGCTTAACGCACCTATCACAAACGAAATATCAACCTCTACGTGTACTTGGACCGCTACGTGTACTTGGGCCGCTACGTGTACTTGAGCCGCTACGTGTACTTGGGCCGCTACGTGTACTTGGGCCGCTACGTGTACTTGGGCCGCTACNTGGATCGTTATTGCTGAACGATTGCTGGATCGTTATCAAAAGAGAAGCATTTCTCAAATGCAGTAATGAAATGAATTTCGACACGGTTCTTGAGGTCATTTCATACATTTATTTTCTAAAAACTCTGAATTTCCTATCGTTATTTCTGAACGATTGCTGGATCGTTATTGCTGAACGATTGCTTTATCGTTATTGCTGAACGATTGCTGGATCGTTATTGCTGAACGATTGCTGGATCGTTAACTAAAGAGAAGCATTTCTCAAATGCAGTAATGAAATGAATTTCGACACGGTTCTTGAGGTCATTTCATACATTTATTTTCTAAAAACTCTGAATTTCCTATCGTTATTTCTGAACGATTGCTGGATCGTTATTGCTGAACGATTGCTTTATCGTTATTGCTGAACGATTGCTGGATCGTTATTGCTGAACGATTGCTGGATCGTTATCTAAAGAGAAGCATTTCTCAAATGCAGTAATGAAATGAATTTCGACACGGTTCTTGAGGTCATTTCATACATTTATTTTCTAAAAACTCTGAAGTTCCTATAAAAAAGTATTGTTTGCTAATCTTCTTTGTTACAAACTGTTAACTGAAAAACTCCAACTGTAGACTTTAGAAAAAACTGTACTAAACTCCACACTGTAGAGACCGAAACTTTCATTGCGTGAGGTTGAGACCTCCAACCCAGTGTCGTGCAGCTCACAACATGTCAAGGATTATAATTAATGTTTGTCACGTCATTATTGGCGTACACAAAGCTGCTGTTGGCGACAATCTTTGCACTCGTAACTTTTCAGGTCACTTCCTCTTCGGCTTTAAACCTCGTGGCCCCGCTGTGTTTTTGTTAGTTTCCTTGTGCTCTTTTATCTAGAACTGTTTTCGTTTGCCTGTATCAGGTATTGTTTTAAGTCATGTTCAAGTTGGTTCTAGCAACAGGCTACTTGTTTTTTGTTTATATTGTGATGGTTTGTAGTGGTGCTGAAAAACATTGAGTTTGATTTCATAATAAGAGTTACAGCTCGTTGTGCGTGCAATGCATGAAGTTGTTTTGCATTCAGGAAGAGATGTATTTATTTACAACAAAATTGATCCTTTTTATATCCAGAAGTATACATAGAATGGCCTTAAAACTGATCCTTAGCTTTTGTTTTAAAAAAGAATTAGTGGAGTGTTGCCATTTCCTTGTGGTGAGGTTAAGTGGTATAAATATTGAAGGTTAATGGCCACAAATTCAGAAAATTATATGTTGAAATTTCGGATCCCTAAATCTGGGCAGAATTTAAATTTTATCCAGTAGTGTGGTACCTGTACTACATGTAATCTTAATTTTATTGTCATTACTATCACTACTTTTACCTCAAATTAAATGGGTGAAAACGTGACATGACAATTTAACAAACAATTGATGAAAACGTTTCGGGGACATGCCATTAAATGCTTCATTAATTTGCCAGCTAAGCAAAACAAGCAGTCAAGATCAAGAATTATTCATGTAATTTAATCGCGATCAAGTAATGTTGTCAACTATCGACTCGACGATTTTCTTACGAAGCCTGTCCCTTCGATGGTTCAATTCTGTTACCTGATCTGAGGTGCCTCGCCGTATGGCGTTCAGAAGAGAGGAGCCTTGTGAAACTTCGTAGTTTCTACCAAACGCTCCGACGTAGTTTCTACCAAACGCTCCGACGTAGTTTCTACCAAACGCTCCGACGTAGTTTCTACCAAACGCTCCGACGTAGTTTTTACCCAACGCTCCGACGTAGTTTTCACCCAACGCTCCGAAGTAGTTTTTACCCAACGCTCCGACGTAGTTTTCACCCAACGCTCCGACGTAGTTTTTTCTGGGCGTGTCAACGAATTACACCGCAATGAACCCTTAATTTATTGAGGCACGTTTGAGGTAATACAGTGATCAGCTGTTGCAGCCTATCACCTGTACCTCTCTCATTATCCTGGTCACTGAACTTGAACCGAGCCACTCGCTTGCATCTCTCAGGCTTGCCTGCCAACATGCTTCTTCGCATACTCGGGATGTGTTCAATAGATGACACTCTTAGTGCCCATATACTCGGGCTATTTTAAATTGATGGAGCTCTTCTTGTGTTTCTTAACTTTATTGTAGTTGAGCCCACAGCTCAACCCTGACTTTGGGTCTCAATTGAAGCCACGGTTGTGCCTCCCCGCTGCTGTACTCGGAAAAATGAGCACGAATTTGTCCAAATTGCGATGCACTTTTTACCCTTGTGTGGGTCTTCCTGACGAAGTTCAATCCTGCAAAAGGGCGTATCCGTTTTCTGTTTGTGCTGTGGATAAGAAAGTGTATCACTATTTGGATTGAATGACCCATGTATTTTTCTGGGTGTGTTCGCGCGACAAAGACCGGAAGCGCTGCGCAGCAACCGTTGTGTGGGTCGCGCAATTCATCGCTCGAGCGCGTCACGTTAGCAACGTAGTTCTTCGATGTAGATGATTTTTTCGTCGCAAAAATTTATTCGTGAAAAACTGCTCTCTTCCCTGTTCATGCTATCTCGTTCACTTAGTAGCAGCTAACAATTTCTTCCACTTGATTCTTTTTTATGAAGAGCATCTTGCTCTTGCTGCTGGATCGTTATTGCTGAACGATTGCTGGATCGTTATTGCTGAACGATTGCTGGATTGTTATCAAAAGAGAAGCATTTCTCAAATGCTGTAATGAAATGAATTTCGACACGGTTCTTGAGGTCATTTCATAGATTTATTTTCTAAAAACTCTGAATTTCCTATAAAAAAGTATTGTTTGCTAATCTTCTTTGTTACAAACTGTTAACTGAAAAACTCCAACTGTAGACTTTAGAAAAAACTGTACTAAACTCCACACTGNAAGGTCGCTTAGCGCCGTGTGCATGTAAAGCTTACCAGGTCATGCTTGCAGCCGCCTGTCCCTGCTATCTCTCGCCTGCTGTACTCTCTCTCTGCTCTAGAACTGTGCTATCGCTGCTCTAGAACTGTGCTATCGCTGCTCTAGAACTGTGCTCTCTCTGCTCTAGAACTGTGCTATCGCTGCTCTAGAACTGTGCTATCGCTGCTCTAGAACTGTGCTATCGCTGCTCTAGAACTGTACTATCTCTGCTCTGGAACTGTGCTATCTCTGTCTCTTATACACATCTAGATGTGTATAAGAGACAGACCCAACGCTCCGACGTAGTTTTTACCAAACGTTCCGACGTAGTTTTTACTCAACGCCCCGACGTAGTTTCTACCCAACGCAGTTTCTACCCAACGCCCCGACGTAGTTTTTACCCAACCCCCCGACGTAGTTTCTACCCAACGCAGTTTTTACCCAACGCCCCGACGTAGCTTTCTACCCAACGCCCCGACGTACTTTCTACCCGATGACCTCGCCACATGCTAATCTACCCTGTAGATTGTCTACCTGCCATTTGCAGCTGGGCCGACCATTTTTGGCGCGTCGCGATTGCGTCACACTTCACCTGTACTTCAGTTCTCGTATAACTGTTGCAAGTGTTCGTAATTTATGTGCAAAAACAGATTTAAATTGTATGTCTGATTCATTGATGCAGTATATGTTGCTATGAATAATACTGGCGAGTTAGTATCGTAAATTGTCGGGTGAAAGTTGAAGCTAATAATCATTGTGCCTCTCTGGTGCGAGCGGGAAAGGGTTCCAATTCTGGCAGCGGCGTAAATTAAA